CACACACACACACACACACACACACACACACACACACACACACACACACAGACACAACCCACACACACACACAACACACAACACACACACACTCTTCTCGACACTTCCAACATGTTTCTCCACACAAGTGAGAGGACAACTTCGAAGAGAATGCTTGTAGCTCGCCTGACAGTCACACAATTCCTTGCTCTCCATTTGGAACGTTCTCCCCCGACAAAGCGCCATTTCCAACCCCTCTTCTTTCTCGTTCCTTCACCTTACCTTGACCGAACACGTACTCTGAGCTCCTGATTACCATTCCCGCTTTCCTTGGCTGGTGTCCTTAACTGTGACAAGATAAGCATTTCTGTTCCAATTTCCTTGGCTGGTGTCCTTGACTGTGACAAGATAAGCATTTCTGTTTTTAACTTTTTATCCATATGACTTTATAATACATGATCGGCAAAGATTAAGCAAAAGATGCAAAAGAGAAGCACCATGGACCTTGGGAATACTTTCCCGTCAAAAGGGGAAAAGAGAACCGGTGCCAAAATGCCAATGTATCGTCATATACGATAACCTTGAAACGAGGTAGTCAGCATGCCCTCGTGTCCAGACCAAAGCCAACCCCTCAGTCCGTCTTTCCTCTTCATCCCACCCCCAAAGCCAACCCCTCAGTCCGTCTTTCCTCTTCATCCCACCCCACCCCTCACTCCTTCGACTCCGCTTTATCCTTCAGGCACCACAGACAACAAACAACTGAGCTAGCACACAGAGACCAACATGACAACCAGCTGACAAACTGGGGACAATGCAAAAAGTAGCAAAACAGCTAGACTCTCTCTCGTCATCCGACCAGACCATGTAAGAAGAAACCAAGCATGAATGAGTCTGATGTTGTTCCGAGTCCTGTAGCAAACCCATTTTCTAAATGCCGATCGCTTTCTAGGCAGCTAAACCTACATAACAATCTAGAATAAGAGCGGATAAAGTAGTGTGATTCAACGACTCAAAGCTTTCTAAGACTCGCCAAAGCTATGCCGCTACTAACGACTCTTCCTTCCCCTCCCCCCTTGCTATGTCAAGGCAAGGAATCAACATTGTAATACTGTATGTGTATAAGTATGTGTATGCGTATGTGTATGTGTATGTGTGAATCCATTCCACAGTTCTCGCTTTGTATAACACGCCAACTATGACCGCCAAATGGGTGTTTGGCGTTAGCCACTCCAGTCAAGCACCACCTACTCCCTGCTTCTCACTCTTGCTCTCTCCCTCAATAAACACTGTGTGGATGGGAATTCATTGCACAGTCCTCACTTGTATATGGTGTGTTGACTCTGACCGCCAAATAGGCGTTCGACCACTCTGCACGAGCGCCACCTCCTCTCCGGGTTCTACCATTCCGTATTCCTGCATGACCCCAAAAACACAGAGAAAGGTGGAAACAAGGTCCATCAAACAGAGCGATGATGTCATCAAGTCATGCCACCTACGTCAGTAAATTTATTGAAATTTTGGCGCAGGCCCGCAGGGGAAAAAAAAAAAACTATATTTCCACATGGACCCGTGGGACAGTGCCTGCACAGTCAATCCCCCGTAACACGGGCAATAAATGACACCGGACCCGTTTTCCAGCAGGGGACACTGTGTAAATCAGCCTACAAGACGTTCAGTGGACACCGGACCCGTTTTCCGGCAGGTGCTGTGCTGCTCCCCACCAATAAATTGGTGCAACCAGGTGGCCCACTAGGAGGGGATGCGCAGATCACTCCCCCTAGTGTGGCAGCATGGTTAAGGGGAAAAAAAAAACAGAAAGGAGCAGACGAGTCTGACAAACAGCCTATTTCAAAAAAAAAAAAAAAAAAAAAAAAAATCCAGAATATGATACAGAAAACAAGATAGCAGCTTTTCTGAATTTATTGTTAAAGTTCAACAGGAAGTCCACCACCTCCCATGAGGCGCAAACAGAGCTGTTCGTCTGACAGGAGATGCCGGCGCCATTAGGAAGCAATCAAAACTTTGTCTACTGTTTTAATTATGGGATAATTTGCAAAATACCCCCATAAGTTGAGATGTATGCTGGGTTACCAATCGTCCAATCAGGAGACGTCTCTGCCGGATGTCCGGTAGGGGAGTTGTTCAGGATCTTGAACAACTCATTTTTTGCAAATTTAAAAACAAAAAAAAAAGGAATAAAAAATGGGGGCGGTCCGTGCTCCACGAGGAGACCCGGTAAGAAAAATTTGAGCTCATTTGTCTCAGTATTTCTTACTGTGAAAACCAAGCGAAGTTTGATTCTCAGGGAAGTACTTATGCTCAATACTTTGTCAACGAGCTCATTTTTTCCTTACACCCCGGGGTCTCCTCGTGGAGCACGGACCGGCCCCATTTTTTTTTAAAAAAGCTTTATATTTGCAAAAAAAATGAGTTCCCCTACCGGACATCAGGCGGAGACATCTCTGATCGGACGATTGGTAACCTAAAGGGGGGAAACAGGGGGGGGGGGGGGTTGGGGTTGGGGGGGGGGRGCATCCATTGCTGCAGCAGGTGCAGCACGTGCTGCACATGCAGTGCCTGCTGCACTAGATGCAGCAACTGCTGCAGCAGATGCAGCAGGTGCAGTAACTGCTGCATGTGCAGCATCTGCAACATCTGCACAATCTGCTGCAGCAGGTGCAGTGGCAGCTGCTGCATCTGCTACATCTGCTGCAGCAGGTGCAGCACCCGCTGCATATGCAACATCTGCACCATCTACTGCGGCAGTTGCAGAAGATGCAGTAGCAGCTGCATCTGCTTCAAGATCTGGGCCCAATCTGGGACGTCGATCTCCAAGATCTAACGGCGCAGATTGGGCCCAGACCGGCCTCAAAAACACGACCTCCCGAGCCCCGGAACTGCCAACCAACCCCCCCCCCCCSCCCCCYCCCCCYCTTAGGGAGGGGATGAGTTGTCCTGGGAAGACATCTCCAGAGTCGTCCGACCAGACGAGTCGGACAACCAGGGGGGTCCCGGGCGTCCGGCCCGGTAAGCTAGGATATATGCCAAAACGGCCCCGAAAGATGTGAATAGAGCGGAATGGCCCTTGGACAACACCTCGTTGCGCAGCAGGGTCCCGTGGTCGATGGGGCTGTCACCCTCTTTGGCGTCCCCTTCCAGGGCAGCTGCACACAACCCGCTGCAGAGGTTGCTCTTTGACAACGCCTCTGGTTGAGCATGCAAGTGTTATTCAGGAGGTTGTGGGTTCGGTCCCCCACAGCCGCATGTGGCGGGCTTKKTWTTTAYCAGCTGAGATAGTTGGCTGCCCCCCCCCCCCCCCCCCCTTGGCTGGCCTGGGCAGGGGCCGGGGTTCTCTTCACCCTTGCTCCTGCCATCCCTCGCTGGCACATAGCCTGCCAGGGGTTAGGAGCCTGACTACTACTCCCTGCATAGAGAAGGGTAGATAAACATAGCCTGCCTTCTTTCGGTGCTTACACACGGTTTAAAATATGTTGGGCCTGTTATAGTCTCAGATATGTGGGTAGATAGCACGAGGTATGTAGGTATCCACTGTGAGGTGAAAAAAATGAGAGAAGAAGATAGCTTAGTTTTCCAAAAAAAAGAATCTTAACAAACGAAAAAATCACAGTGGTTGCACCTGTCCAACATAGAAGTAGGACATATGACGTAATGGCATCGTTTTGACCAGCGTGTTTGGTAGATTTTCCTTATTTAATGTTCTGTCCCTGTCATGGAGGTAGTCTCTTGAGCAGTAGTGTGCAAGTGGCGCTAGCTAGCGAGTTCTTGTCTGTCTTCGACCAATCAGCCCGGAATGGGACCGGCTTCACGTATCAAGTCCGTTATCCTAACCTTACCTTCTGCTTCATCGAAGCCGTTCTTCGACTTTCGCGTGCTGCTTTCAGGCATCATCAAGTGAAATGGCAGAAAAAAGGTTGAGGCGAGGAGATCGTTTTATGCATCTGGAACCTTTAGGTTGGGGTTGATTCTCTACTCCATTATTTACCACTGGAATTAGCAAATTCCCCCATGCAGTTTCCTGCAAATTAATCACGACCTTCATAACCATCATGCTCGTCAAATCAAATCCCATATCGGACACTTCGTGGCTATCAGACACTTTGTGGCTATCGGACACTTCGTGACTGCGTGCCCTGTGCATGGACCTATTCCAGAGGCTTCAGGGTACCAATCATTCACTTGAGAAGATGGATGTTGCAAGAGACCTGACGCCGAAGCATACACTTGAGAAGATGGACATAGCAACAGATCTGACAACGAACCAGATCATAGACATGGCATGCCGAAGTGAGCATCTGGAGCATGGACCTAATGCAAGCATCTCTGCATGAACCTAATTTCAGGTCCTTGCATCGGTAAACTTCTTGAGCATGGTCCTAATGTGAGCATGGACCTAACATCAGCATTAACCTAACATGAGGAAGTACCTAATGTGCACATGGACTGACATCAGGTCCAGGTTCGCTTCTGTTGGTTTCTTGAGCGTGGACCTAACGCGCACATCAACCTAGATATCGACATGGACCTTATGTGAGCACTGAGCATGGTCAAACCCTCAAGGCCCTTGCTTCGGCGACTTTATTCAGCACGAACCTAACAGAACAGATCCATGCTTGAGTGAGATTTATAGTTTACGTTCAAATGTAACCTTTATGCCCAACTGCGTGTGTGTGCACACATGTGCTCCTCTGCTATGGTCTTTGCCATGGATACCGCATTACGGTATTGGACCTGTCGATACCAGTTCCAAATACAGTCATAATTATCATGTGTTGAGCTCAGGGAGACAAGATAGTGAAATGAACATGGCATATCCGATCACCGAAAACAAGTACACACAATGACATGTCTCCCCCCCCCCCTTTCTTTCCTCTCCTCTGCTATGGTCTTTGCCATGGATACCGCACGACTGTCGATACCAGTTCCAAATACAGTCATAATTATCATGTGTTGAGCTCAGGGAGAGAAGATAGTGAAATGAACATGGCATATCCGATCACCGAAGACAAGTACACGATGACATATGCCCCCCCCCCCTTTCTTTCCTCCCCCCCGCCTTCTCCCCCGGCCCCCCCTTCCTTTCTTTTGTAAGTTGATGCAGCATAACAGAAGTCCATGCCATGCAGATGAAGATTCATAAAACGAGAACAGACAAAATGAAAATGAGTTGACGAAACAATCTAGAACTGAAAAAAACACAACTGAGAATGTACCTGCCTGGTTGCTATACACACGGAACTCTGGGACCACCACATCAAGAGTACAAATCCCGTTGGATACAACAAACTGGCTCCTTCGGAGGGAGAGGGGGGAAAAGTAAGAAGAGACTAAGAAAGGCGAATGAGAATGCAAAGGAGAGAAACAAAACCAAGCAAATTTCAACCACGCCTAACGGACCCCGACAGCCACCCCTTCCTTCTGCCTACCCTGCCCCAACAGCACCTGCTCATGGGACAGACAAGCGAAGAACAAAGAAGTGGATTCAAACACAGAACAAAGAAGGGCCAAACCGAACGATGTGACGACCAAATACTATATACCTGCATGCCCCCATCTCTGGCCACGCTCAACAGCAAGTGAATCAAACTCGACTGATGTGGGATGCAGTTGAAAAAAGACAAAAAAAAGGAGAAAAAATACAACAAAAATAAACTTAAATGATTAAATCAAGAAACAAATAACTTACCACAAGCATGGCCAGGGCCTTCTTGAAGGTGACTTCTGCATCTGCTGAGAACTCCATGTACAGTGCCCTGACGCCATTGTAGAGTGCGAGCCGTCGCTGCACCCTCTTACTGCAAGGAGGAGAGCGGCAACCCCAGTCAGTGGTAGGTGTTAGGTGAAATCCATCAGCTAAAAAAACTACAACCATCACAGGTCAACTGGTCCAAAAAACTTGACCCTCTGGAATCCCACCCATGACAAAAGCCCTCCTCCAAGCCCATCCACGAGCACTCTGCAAGACAGGCCTCACACCACAAGAGCTCTCTGCGACACTAGGAGTGTGACCACGTAAAGCACCCTCGATACCCTGTACTCCATCCATGTGCCTCGAAACAGCCGAATGTGGGCATTACACCCGCAGTAATCACTCTCCAAGACTCTTCGTGAGGATCTTGTGGCCAGCCACCCCAAGAACGATCACAATCAAAGAGTGCCCACGCTCCTATCTAGGCCAAAAGTAGAAGTCAAAACAGTAGATCCACTTTTCGACAAGAGGGCAGAACGGCATTTCGACACTTGCTTGTACTCGCAAGTTGTCTCGTTTCTGCCATATCACACTGATCACAGCCATTCCTTAACCAAACTACAAAAATGTTTTTCCTACTCAGGGACAAATTGGGGAGAGAGATTAAGGATCTAGGAAACGAAACGTATACTCACTCGTTTGTGAAGGTGAAAATAATCCCCTGTGGGCGATAGTGACTAAGCAGATGTGCCATCGATCCGCTGCGGCTGAAAACAAGCACTGACGCTCCCAGTGTGTTCGCCATCATAGTTGCGTGGAAAGCGAACATCTCACTCATGTGGTTCTGCATCAGCACAGAAAAATTAGGCGGTGACAAACATATTAAAAATCAGTCCAAATAACCCCAACATCCTTTCGACGTTCTGTAATGATTGCCGGCCACCCCATCTATTGACATGGAGGTATGGGTGCAGGTAGGAGCTCGGAGAAACATACTGCTGCAGTCTTCACTGGAGTGGACATTCGGAGAATCCGCCAAAGCAATCTGGTGACATCAGGGCTCTCCACCATCACAATCACAGACGATGTCAGGAGACCAGAACACGCTTCTGCGGAGCCCTCCCTTCTTTGGTATTCATTCGAGCAATGGTGGACCTGCACGCCACCTAACCGCCCTGGGTTCTTCCTCGTCCTGTTCAATGAATGAAGTCCCGCTTCTGGTAGGTTTCCCTTGAAAACCTCCCACTCCATCCTGGTGTCTTTACCTTTGTCGAGATGCTCCAAGTCACTCTGCACAGTAATCTGGAGTAGGCAGGCACATGATACACAGACACTAAACCCAGGCACTGATAACGTGGAGAGCCAATCGAACATCCAAAATGGTTCAGAGCAGAGACTTAAAGATGTGGACCACAGTACGACTAGTGGAGCAGTAATCCAGAGTTGGTTTGAAGGAGGAGAGGTTTGCGATAGAGAAATGGATCATAGCGTAGGCATAGAAAATGCAGAAGCGCAATATTTTTCTAGATATCATGGACGAGATTTTAGATCGTAAGGGGAATTTTGTTACAGCACAGTTGATCAACAAGTAGAAAAGGTTTCAGACGTCGGAGGTGGTTTGGAGAACAAAGGAGAAAGGAGGGAACGAGGAGTGCACCGGGCCAGCAGAGCGGAAGGTTCCAAAAAAGAAAAGAACCGCCAAGTTCAAAACAGGTGAACAGGCTGCAAACTGTGGACCAGGTTATTAATAATAGACTAGTGGAGTAGGAGTAGGTCCTGAGTGGTAGTGTAGCAGTAGGTTCATCAAAGGAGGTTCGGAATAAGGTTGAGAATAACCTTCTGGCAGAGGAAGGAGCAGTTACCTTCCCAGATGCTGAGTGAGTTTCATCAGCGGATGTTCGGATTGTCAGAGGAAGGAGCAGGTTGAGACCATTGCATGCAGATGTAGGATGGGAAACTCAGAGAAGGTTCAGTACAGGAGAGGAGATCCATAAGGAGAAGCGGGTTTAGCATCAGGAGATGGACTCAGGGTAGGTTCAGGACAGCTGAAAATTCATAAGATGAAATGGGTTTAGCATCAGGGGATGGAATCGGGAGGATAGATCATGTCCAGAATCCGTACGTACGCTTCAGAGGATGAAACCAGTTGTAAATGACTGAACAGCAAAGGGACACGAGGAGTCGGTTTGGAAGAGCGGAGATACTTTGAACTAGGCAGCTATGTCAGACTACATTTGGAAGGGCATGGATGATCGTGCACAAGAAGCACATAAATATACATGCATGCACCCCTTCAACCCCCCCCCCCCACCCCACCCCCGGTGGCCAACGTATCAATCAAATGCATCCAGGAGTGTTGGATAGTGAAACTGTGACCTCCTCATGAGATGGTGAAAGTCCAGCGAGACAGTCTGTCACAATGATGCATTGCATTCTTGTGTTCCTCCCTCCTCTCTCTCTCTCTCTCTCTCTCTCTCTCTCTCTCTCTCTCTCTCTCTCTCTCTCTCTCTCTCTCTCTCTCTCTCTCTCTCTC